AATTTCAATGTGCTTCAAAAATCCTTGAAGAAAATACCTTATGACATGCATTTGTTCATAAATAATAAATGTACCCTCTCTGAAAGACCTGACTTTAATAAAATGCTATCGTAAACATCTCAAATTCTCTAACCTTTTAATTTGATGTTGGAATCTCAAATGCAGTATATCTAAGTCTTCACTTATTATCTTTCCCTTCAAATATCTTTATTAGTTGGTATTCTTTCAGTTGTTTAAAAAAAATGAGGAGAAAGGTCAAATAATAATAATAAAAAAAACACAGGTTTTCTTTGCCAAGCACTGGATGTAGGTATGGGAAAGACCACAGACACACCTGCTCTGTCTTTCTCTGTATCCATCCCTTTATAATACCAGGAAGGCTTAGTAGGACAGCCTCCATGCCCAGCAGTTCTTGTTTTGGTTTTCTTCTCATGCGACCTGCATTTGGGGTCCAGGAAGTAGTGAGTGTCCTGCTGCTTCTCCTTAGCACTCACCCCCATGCTACTGTCCCTCTCTTCTCCCTAAACACCCAACTCCTCTGATGCACTGTCACCAGATCATTCCATCTGCTGCTCTTCTGTATATCCCACCATAGTCTTCTACTGTTCTAGGACCTTCACTTCATTTGGGAAGGGGCATCTTAGTGGCCCCAATCTTAAACAATTGTAAGATGTGTAACCTTCTTGCTCAAAACTCTCCAACAGATTTCCTTCCAGCTACCTACAATGAAATCCACAGCATAGCACACCTGCAGGCCCTCCTTGCTCCGGCCTCCACCTCTCCACCATCTCCCTGGTCTTCCCTTCACTGTGCTCCAAAAATCCTGGCTTCCTAATTGTCCTCGAAACATGCAAAGTGTGCTCAGGCATTTGCAACTCTGGACTTTGTTTATATGATATATATAATTTAGTGTATATAATACATAATGACATATACATATTGTATAACTTACTATCAGTTATATATGTATGTATATTCATTTATTATCTGTTCCACTCTACCCCATTATGTATTTGAGTAACACAAATTTCATGAGAACTGAACTCTGTGATCTGAACACTATCTGGTGCAGAGAAGATTCTCAAACATGTCCTGAGTGAATGAATAAATAAGTAGACCAATAAATGAATGAGTATATGAATGAACCATGATAGCACAAGTGCTAAAATTCTCATTGAGTTAGTTTCCCACCCCTCATCCTAGAGACATGCATCTTCCTCTCCTGAATCTGGTGAATTAGTAGTGGAGCGTGGGTAACATTTTGAGGGAAATCTAGATGGTGTTACTCAAAGATTCAGAGGTCTGCTGAGAAGGGGAGGAATAGACGTCTACTACTTTATGCCCCTTCCCTCTTTCTGTCACCAATGCATGTAAATTAATACCTTGAGATAGGTTAGTTGATATGTTTCCTCCTACTCTCTTCTCTCAAAATGTTATGAACCCTTCTTTTGAAATATCTTATCTTTTGTTTTCTTATTTTACCATGCCACCACATTGGCACCGACCCTCTCAACTCTTTGTTGCTGAAATCTCCTCGATCTCCACAACCCAGAATCTCCTCCTAATTATGGCTCCTCTTGTGTCATTACTTCAAAAAAATGCTTTCTAAATTATTTTGTCCATAATCAGACAGAAATTTCTCAAACACTCAGGATTTTCCAGTATGAACATTTCCTTCTAATCAGACTTCGGTATTTGTTACCTGTTCCTGAATTTACCTTAGTTTATGTTTTCAGAGAGTCCACATTTTAGATCTGAAGTGGGACTTGCAATAAGGTAGTTAAGTCTTTCGGGGAGACACATGGAGAAAAAGAATGAGAAAATTGAGGCCTAAAAAAGTTACCCATTCAGAACAAAATTCAGCACAGCTGCATCTAGACACTGGGTATCCTAAGCCCTAGGCCTGAGTGCTTTCTTTATGCCAGGAATGACCTGTTCTGTCTGTGTCTTGCTCCCTTTATCTCCTCCCAAACACCATTCTGCCCTTTCATCCAGCGGAGGTCCATCTCTTTCTGTTCCATTTTTCTGGTTGCATAGTTTCAGAACTCCAAATATTATTGAAATCCCTAGCTATGTCATGCACTTCCATAGTGACTTTAATATTACCTTTTGCAAAATATTTTCGTATTTTTTAGACCTGTGGTATTGTGATTTATAATAAGTATTTTTTGCTCTTTGTCCATGGTTCCTGGCACACAGCTTTAAAACCCTTGGAATTTCCAAATTGATAAGTGCATTTAAGATGAAATGGGAGTCTTTCCTTATAACAACTTTCTTTCAGTCACATGTGAGTTTATGCTCGAGGTGATTTTTAGAAAACCACAGCGGGCTGGTCAGCGGGGCGACCGGCCATGAGGATCCAGAGGTGGAACCTCTGGAGAGTTCAATGCCCAGTAGCCAATGATTGAATTAATTTTTCCTGTGTAATGAAGCCTGCATACAAAACCCCTGAAGTTGGGGTTTGGAGATTTTCTAGGCTGGTGAATCTGTGGAGGTCCTGGGAAGGTGACATACCTAAAGAGGGCGTGGGCGCTCCACACCATTTCCCACATACCCCGCCCTATGCATTACTAGCTGGCTTTTCCTGATTTATATCCCTTTCTACTAAACTAGTAATTTAGTAAGTAAACTGGTTTTCTGAGTTCTTATGAGTCATTCTAGCAGATGAGCTAAACTGAAGAGGTTATGGGAACCTCTGGTTTATAGCTCGTCTGTCAGAAGCATAGGTAACAAACTGGACTTGAGATTGGCATCTGAAGTGGGGTGGTGTCTTGCGGGACAGAGCCCTTAACCTTGGGATCTGACTCTATCTGCAGATAGATAGTGTCAAAATTGGGTTAAATTGCAAGATACACAGCTGGTGTCCACAGAGGATTGAAGAATTGCTTGATGTGTGGGAAACCCATACATCTGGTGTCAGAAGTGAAGTACTGAAAATAAGAGAAGTACAAAGTGTTTCTCATCTTTCAGGCCTCAAAAGACTGCAGTGTCTCAGAGACTGGGTTTCAAGAGAATTACTTGCTGTCATTGTTTGTAATATTCCTATAACACCTAGCACCACATTAAGCATATATTTGATATTTAAAACTGTTTGGTGCCTTTTGTTGAATATTATTTAAGATAATAAATTCAGATTAACCTATATGCAGTTACGGATTTAATTCAAGTGATTTCAGTCAGGGATTCTCATCGTTAATAGCTTTTGCAGCCAAAACAACCAATAGTGGTATTAAAATGAAATCATGGTTTAATAAAATAATTAGATTTGTGGCTTCCTTATAAAGCTAGAAACTGGCAAAGAAAAAATATTACCTAAAAGAAAAAAAAATTACTGTTACTCTTGATCAAATTTTGTCAGCAAGCTAAAAAGGGAACACTCAATTAAAAGTATTAAAATTCAAGATCTAAAGCTCAAATAGTTTTATGCAGTGAAGGCTTGGAGGAAGGTGTAGCTGTTTGAAAAGAGAGTGGTAGTTTTGCTGCTCAAGGAAAACCAAGGAGACACAACAGGAATCATCACTGAAGAGCATCCCAATTTTTAAGCACATAATTATACTTGTTGTAGGCTAAGTATTACCCATTATGCAGATTGTAGGTCATCTACATGTCCCATGAAATAGTTTAATCCTCAGGAAATATTTCAATATGCTCCTGGTATTTCTAGGTTTTACAGTACACACTTTATGTTTGGCTGGTGACTCAGAAATGTGTAACAAACCTTAACACCACAAGTTTACTGCTGTGATGCTGGTATGAAATTAAGCCAGACTTCCATTTCAAAGCTACTATGTACTTTTTATTAAAAGCATCTCTTTATTTGCATCTTATCTATCTTATGTCTTTAAAAATTGTTATAAAAGAGAAATTTTTAAAAGATAAAACTCTTGATTTTATGCACAAGCAAATTCAAAACCTCAGGTCAAGCATACAACAGATTAGCAATGTTATGTAGTTCTTATATTGTGTGTTTCTGAAAGTGCAATATTCTTTTAAAAACTCTTATTTCAGTATTTAAGAGATCATTTTAGAAATTATAAAAGAGGATCTCATGGAATATAGCTTTACAAAAAAGTTATCTAATACAGGAACAACTAGAATGTGTATCTGAAATTAATAAGCTGTTTAAAATAGCACATGAATATATTTCTCATTTATTTGACTTGTATCTTCTAAAATTTGATGGTCTTTTGTTTTAAGTCTTCCTTGAATTATAATTATATACAGACATTTTCCCTATTATTAGATTGTAATTTTTTGAGTGTAGCATCTATGGCTCTACACATCCTTGCATCCCCCATATTATCTTGCTCTAATTTTTTTATCCAGTAGATGTTTTATGAATGTTTGCTGAATGAATGTTAGCCATGCCCAAAGAAAATCCATTTGTTCTCTGCTGAAAAAAAAGACAGTGTGAACTTTCAACATGAAATAAGATTCATGGGAAATCACTCTTGTAACAGAATCTTCTATAAATGAGAAAAATGGAATGAACATGTTTCTGATCCACTTGTAAACTCTATAAAAGGTAGAAAACCCTGGCCTCTGCAAAACATATTCAAATTATTATTTTTGCCTAACTGATGATGAAAACTTTCAGATTTCTAATGGTGGCATGTGGAGGAAATGTAGAGAAATTTTTTAAAAGCAAGATATGGTTGGAGTCTATGAGAAATTATTTATTTTGTAATTTAAATACAAACCACTAGAATTCATAATTTAAATATTTATTGGATACTGCAGTAGGTACCACCTCATATTTTATTCTTTTAACGTATGAGTGTATTTCCACATATGAAAGGACCCATGATCCCTTTGACCCAGTTCCCATTTAAAATTATTTTCAAATAAAGGATGTATAGGAGTTTTTTTAGATTGTTTATATGGTACAAAGAATATAAAATCCTGCCTTTGGATAAGAAAATTCAAGTTTATTTTAGCACATAAAGAACATGGTTGTTTCATTTTTTTTCCTTATTTTTTAATCACATTTCTTTTTCCAGGCATTTCCTGGGAACATCAACTCTGACAGTGTGGTTCGACATGACTTCCAGCACCCGGTGATTGCCCGTCACGTGCGCATCGTGCCTCTGGATTGGAACGGAGAAGGCCGCATCGGGCTCCGAATTGAGGTCTATGGCTGTTGTTACTGTAAGTACCATACTGTTGAAAACTGTGGTGGGTTTTTCATCTTCATTTAATTTATAATTTGTTTATTTTTAATATTTAACACTACTTGCTTTCTATGACATTAAGTTCCTTCTGTTTTATATGTAAATAATATATCAGGTTACTTGTTATAAATATATATTTACATTTTTATACAAACACACATATAAGAATACCTTAAGAAAAGGATTTGGGAAGTGATTTTTGTTCAGTAGACTAAAACAACAAAGTTTATTAATTAAAATGGCTTGAAGTCTTAGATAATGTCTGAGTAGAAACCTACACTGTTATCTTTTTGACTCTTCGTGAAGGATTTTTGGATACATTCTTAAGAACTTCCTTTCAGTTCTCTTCAGCTATATATACCCTTAACTATTTTAAAGGCAGCCATTGATTTTAATGTCAGTCATATTTTATGTGTCTGTTAAGTTTTATTTGCTTCTTAAAGTTTCCCATATCACCTAAAAAGTTTTTCCTTTAGTTGTGTTTTGAACCCCCTATTTTGTATTTCTTTATACATTATATGTATGAGTGTGTGTGTGTGTGTGTATACATATAAAATGGTTTTTATATATATAAAACGATTCCAATACATGGATATTTGGGGATTGTGATTCTGCCACCTATTGTTTCTGTTCATTTTTGCTGCTGGTGTTTGTTTTTTCCTCCTCTCCCTCCTTTCCTTTCTTTCTTCTTCTTCGCCATCTTTTCTACCCTTCCTTCTCATCCTTATCTTTATGCTTGTCGATCTTATGGACTGCAACCTTAGTTTCTTCAAGACTTTCCTATAGAACTTCTTTCAGGCCAACGTTGATGGTGGATTCTTCTAGAAAAGATGTATCTTTGCTTGTTTGCTTCTGTGAAGGCAATACCAACACAGAATTACTTTGAAGATTGCTTAAGGTTTGTTGAGGCCACTACGTGATACAAATTCAATCCTTAGGAACATGTTTGCAAACACTGGCTTTACAAGATAGATTCTCTGGTGAAATATTCCTCTCCTCCCAGTGGACTTTCTTCATGTCCTAATTGTCTGGTGGGGAGGCACGCTGGACGTGAACGGGGCAGGGAGCTGGGGTGTCAGCTTCACACAAGGAGGCTGTATCAGACTCTCCCCTACCGCTTCCTATAGAGCCATAGAAATGGTAGCGCTCTAGAACCAGGAAATGGCAAATGTCCAAGTGGACAAGGTTTTAAAAGTTACCCAAACATTTGGTAGTTTATGATGAAAAAAATACACACACACACACACACATATATAAAGTTGTCACCTCTGTATAGTTGCAGATTGATGAAAATAATAGCTGTTGTGATGATCAAATCATATTTATTCACAGGCAACACTGCTATGTGAAAACTGAGAAGGTTTTACTACAAAGAGGCCATGGAGCCCATTAAAAAAATTCTATAGGCGTTTATTTGCTCATTACTATTATAGCAACTATAATGTATCGGAAGAGAAGGAGATTTGTTCTTCAGGAGAATGTAGATCTTCAGAAGGAAGATATCACTCTTCAGGAGAATCCTAAAATGAGCCTAACACAAATCGGGGTCCTTTCTCTCCTGTGATTCGGGTAGAACCCTGTGTACACACGTGCTCAGGCCAGCATCGTGATGGGAGGGACAAAACAAAATGTGGTAGTTTTGCCTGTATGACAGGTCTTTCTAAGGAGCCTGTTCGGCTTTCAATAAATGAAGCATATGTAATATTCTTCGTGACAACCATGATGTGTATGATTGATTTTATTAACAATTACTTATTGAGTACTTTTTATGTGTAATGAAACATGATAAATGTTAGTAATACCATGAATAGGAAAACCATGGTGTGAGTGACAGAGTGGGGCAATAAATCTAGTAGTATTTACTTGGACAAGAATGGCGAGAGTTAAAATTTGACCAGATGCACACAGCCTGAGCAGTGGAGCTGAAAGGGAAGCGGTGCGGTCTGGTGCAACGCCGGAGCTAATACCACTGCTCCGCTTCCCTTCCCCCCCATTTCCAACAACACCACGTGATCATCACCTGTCAATAAAAGAATCACAGTGATAACCTCAGAAGCACCCATCAGGGCCCCTCCCACTTGCTACTACTTCTTAAAGGTAAAAATTCACCTAATCTTTGCCTTCGTAGATAAGTTGTTGTTTTTTATTTCATACCAATGGAATAATAACATATTCATATTCTCTGACTTTTTTGTTCAAAAAATATTTCATAACGTGAAATTATCCATGTTGCTATTAGAGGCATTTATTTCCCTTAGTAGTAATATTCTACAATTATTTGTTTATTTTGTGTTGATAAACGTTTGAATTGCTTCCAGTTTTTTACTATTTCAACAGAATTGCTTTAAAATGGTTTAGAACTAAGAAGAGTTAATACCAGGTTAGGTTATCTATCTATCTATGTCTAACTTTTGTCACTAATGACAATATTTTTCCTAAAGTGGTCATTTCAGTTTAGACTTAGTAAACCAATGTGTTATAGCTCCTGTTATTTTCTAAATTCAGACACTTAGTAATGATTTGAAAGTTTTAACCATTTTGGTAGGTGTTGATATAATCTCATTTTAGTTTTAATAAACATTTTCTTACTTTTTAAAGAGGTTATGCTTACTGGCCATTTATATACCTTCTTTATTGAAGTGTTCAAGAATCTTGCCATATTTCTTCTGTTGGGCTGTCTTATGGATGTACTTTTTTCTCATTGTTTTGAGTAGTTTTTATATCCAACAGTGTTTCCTTTGCTTTTTTTTCATTTTTATTATAATATCTAGACATGTATCTTATTTTTGAGATGACTTAAGACAACCATTTTAAAACCCACACTGTATAAGAAGTTCCTTTAGAACTCACAATCTGCTGGCTCAAATGTGGCTCATGGTAGGACGACTTAACTGTAATCTTTGCAGGTGGGTTTGTAAAGCTTGGAGTTAGTGTTGTCATGGGCTTTTCCATCCAGCCTGGGCTTTGGCAATCCCAGTATGGAAAGAAGAATACCTGAGGCTAAATCGGAAGCTGGATTTTCCTAGTGCATAAGCTTCTCTGGGAGTGGGGGTGGGGAGAATCGTGCACATTGGGAAATGGTATTAACATTCACACCAGTAGATACCAATGGAGTAAATGATAAATTGGCCACATAAAATAAAATAATGTAAAATAGAAGTTGAAAAATAGCACTGTAGTAGGTTGCAGTAAATTGGATAATGATTCCCCTGAGATATCAGGTCCCTATTCCTGGAACAAACCTGTAAATGTTATTTCCTAAGGCAAAGTGTTTGCAAATGTGATTATCTTAATCTTGACATGGGAATATTATCCTACATTATCCAGAGGAGCTCTAAGTATGATCATATGCATCCTTGCAAAAGGTAGTCAAGAAAATTTCACAGACAGGAAAGATGGGGCAATGTGGCCATGGAGGCAGAGATTGAGTGTAGGGCTACCAGCCAAGGAATGTCAGCGGTCTCCAAAAGCTGGAAGACGGAGGACGGATTATTCCCTGGAGCCTCCAGAGAGATTGCGGTCCTGCCAACATATTGATTTCCATCCAGTGAAATTGCTTTGTGACTCTGGCTTCCCAAACTGTGAGAAAACAAATGTCTGTTATCTCAAGCCACCAAGTTGGTGGTGATTTATTATAGAACAACAGGAAACCAAAGAAGTATCAATATTATTTTTGGAAAAAAATAGCTCTAGAGCAATTGTACTTTAGAGAAAGTTGTAAATATTCTAGACCTGCAATAGCTACTAGCCATGTGTATCTATTGAGCACTTGAAATGTAGCTAAGACAACCGAGGAACTAAATTTTAAATTTTACTTATTTTTAATTCATTTGAATTTGAATTTAGTATGACTTCTGGTTACCGTACTGGATGGTGCATATAGAAAAACTAAAACATCTGCTTCTTATTATTTTTCTTCCATGTGTTTTTATAATCTTAGCAACCTGTAACATTGTCTTTTAAAAGGAAGTCTCTAATTGTTTTTTCCCTGTGTTTGGAAAACAATAATTTTATTATCCTGGAAACCATCATACCAGGTCCCTAACCAAGCCATTTTCCTAAACAATGTCCAAATCAGATTATTTTTAATTTGTCTGCTTGAAGAATGAAAATTATGTTTATTTCTTTTCCAATGAAAATATACAGTTGACCCTTGAACAATGCAGAGGTTTGGGGTGCTGACTCCCCCACATAGTCAAAAATTCATACAACTTTTGACTCTACATAAACTACTAATAGCCTACTGCAGACCTGAAACCTTACTGATAACATAAATAGTTGATTAACACATATTTTATATGTTATATGTATTATATATACTGTATTCTTACAATAATACAGAGAAAAGAAAATGTTTTCTTCAAATTATAACAGAACTCAAAATAAATTTCCAATACATCTATTAAAAAAAATATGTATCCATGTATAAGGGAACCCCTGCAGTTCAACCTGTGTTCAAGGGTCAACTGTACATGTTCATAATAGGAGAAAGATGTGTTAAGCATATGTATTATGGACAACTTTCCCAAAGTTAGTGGGATTTAAATTTAACTCTATTGGAATTGAGAATAGAATGAGCCCTTTGAAGGTGACCTTTTACTTTTCTTTTTTTTTTTAACTTAGTGAACCATACATAGTTTTGAGAGTTTGTTTGATTTTTCAGTGAGAACAGAATCATGGATCTCTGGGGAAATATATATCCGATACACCCTCCCATTTTGCCCTCTTAAGAATAGCATTACTGTTTTCTCTAGGGTCTGGCAAGGAGAAACTAGGCTTTGATTTCTCCTGCAAGGGAGAGAAGTGAATGTTCTCATCTTTCTAGAAACCCCTTGGAGGATTTATCTGAGATCTGTCTTAAACCTGAAGTTTGGGGGATTGAGGGATCCTTCTACTTAGAAGTTTTCCAGAACCTGGGAGGGAAAAATCTCAGTATGAGCATGGCTTCTGCTGGGGTGCATGCTTTCTGTGATTCCC